AGAGAGAGAGAGAGAGAGAGAGAGAGAGAGAGAGAGAGAGAGAGAGAAGTACATTGGAACTGGTTTAAAACATTTCAAATTGCCAAATAACATGGTACAGATAAACTAGTACATACGGACTCAATCTGCTTTCGTACCAAATACTGTTGTTATCAAACGTAAATACTTGTAAACTTAGTCTTACATTACACATACTCACACATCATCGCCTAGATTGCATATAACTTACCAAACGTGTAATACTTTTCCACGCAAAAAACTTTTGCCCACAAACACATTACAGAAACTATTACTTAAAACAGGACCTGTTACAAGCGAAAAGATGCGTGTATATGAAAGACTACCTATAACGAACTAACATTAATAATAATAATCACGGTTATGACAGAAATACAAGACATCGTTTAGTTATTACTATTTGGTCATACAAAAGGTCCCATTGCTATTTTGGCAAAACAGGGTCGACGGCAGCAAGCACCATCTACATTTAAAAAACCTAATTGATTAAGTTACTCAGGGATGAGTGGTCGTTGTGATATTGGGTCACACGCTTACGAATACGCTTCGAGCATACTAGATGGGGTTGACACGCTACATAAATAAATAAATTTATTATTAAAAATGGAAGTAAATTAATTTGCTACTACGCGAACCCAGTGAACGTTAAATCGTGTAAAATAGCTGCGCTTGTGTTAAATATTTTTTTCATGCAGTTGATTATCCCACCCTCCCTCTGCATAAAATTAATAACACAAGGGCAACTACAGTCACAAACCATCACCAAAAATATACCCAACCCGTGTTTCGCCTCTCCATGAGGCATCGGCAGGGGTTGTTGACTGCTCGACACTCGGCCGAAGAGTTCACTGGGTTCGCGGAGTAGCAAATTAATTTCCTTGCAATTTTTTTAACATGGACTTCAGCAAAGTAACGCCTGAACCTATTAATTTATTTATTTAATCCAAAATTTATGATTACTAACGTCAAAACTGGAACTACTCGTAATCTGATTATATGAACTATTTGCTTTTGGAGTTCCGTTACTCAAAATTAGATAGCACGATATCTAACACTTCTTATGGGAATTTACTTAAAACTAGAAATCCTAAACACCAATGAGAGGTTTGACGCAAGATTTTGTTCTACGGAACATAACGTGAACATAAATATGGCATGTAGCCATAGTGGACGCCCACTTCACACTTCTTCTAGTTTATTTGTTCCATTGTCGTTACTCTTCTCCGACCTTGTCTTAAAATATAACGGATATAATGGTGTTCATAGTGTTCATACCGATGAAACAGTGACATTCAAAAAGTCGAGTATCGCTTGCAGCTCGTTTCTAGTATCTTCGACCAAATTTTCATAGAACACGACGTGCATTGGGCCGTGGTATTTGGTAAGCCACTCCGTGTACAATGCTGTCCATGCTATAATGAAACAATTGACTACGCGTGACCAATTGCCGCCGAATCTGAAAAAATGATTAACATGCAAATGGAAATAACTAAAGGTTTCTTTTGTCTGTAACCGTTTTCAAAACTTCCTCCTTTGATATTTCTCAAACCACTTTATTTTTGCATTCGCCTCCAGCACGTCCAGATTTCAAATGACATGAACAATTACTCAGAAAAACAAGAAGAGATTAGACTCCTTGTTTTTGTCTCGCATCCATACAGTGCCGTATTCCAGACTTAGGTTTTGAAAGATCTTTTGAATACAATAGACAACAGAAACATTTGCACATTCGTTACGTATTGACAAATTTGTGAGAATGATAACTGGGGGGAAGATAGAAGGGAAGAGGAAGAGCAAGAATGGCGTATAGGGAGCAAATAAAGGACAAGATCAAAGTGAGCAGCCATAAAGAGGTCAATGAACTGGCTATGAACCGTGAGGAATGGAGGAGGCTACACAGACATGAGCCTGGATAGGATGATTAAAATAATATGGTTTTAATGTTGTGATTTCATTATCGTATCATAAAATATAATACGTATAGTACTTACTCTCCGAAGATTGAAGGTGGCGCAACAATATCATGAATATTATGCATATTATGGAATATTACGTCTTCAGTTACATTTTCTTTTAATTTTAAATGTAATCCATACATTACATTAAAGGCAGCCTGCGGTAAATAATAAAGTTTTAGACATAGGAGCGCTTTTTTTGTTTAAAGCGTGGAACTAATTTATATATGAGGAGTGAATTGGAAATTACGTGGAATTTTTGATTTTCTAAAAATAATTTTTATTTTACTTATTGCAATGTTGCCCCCTTTAAAGTGTTTTCCCTCAGATACAATTAATATATTTGTGTGAACGCTATATCCAATCCTGGAAGTATTTCTCGATAACCGTCTTTGTCTCATCAATATTAAAAAAGCGTCATCCTTTTATTGTTTTTCCAGTTTTGAAAATAGGAAGCAACTACAGGGAGGTATGTGTGGTGAAAGTAGCAGCAGAGGCTTCATAACAGTATCGTTTCTGATCTGGAAAAAATTTGGGACAATGGTTGTTTTTGTTGTTTTTTCAAACCCAAAATATCCGTAAAAATTGTTTCGCTAGAGCTAAATGGCATTCCAAGCTCATCAGGTCTCCTCTAACCTTTCTAATAGTGATTGCCCCTAACTATTTTCTTTACATTTTTGGTGTTATAATCGGTTGTTCATGTGCTAGGACATCCAGGAAGACGAGCCTTCTGTCATTGTCTTAACTACCCTGTTTAAAATGTTTGTACCATTTCTAAATTTATTCACTGAACATTCCCCCAATGCAACATTTAACATTTTTAATGTGATGCTGTACTTTAATTCATTTCTAAGGCAGAATTTTAGGCCAATTCTTTATTCCATTGTTATTACAAATATAAAACGATGACTGGTTAATCACATGTAACCATTTCGATTGCCAGCAACAAAGTAAATTAATATATGTGCTCTTGCCATCGTATGTTAGGGACATGTGCACAAATACAATATAGCAAAAAAATTGTGACGAATGTATTTATACAGTTCAAGATCAAAAAATCCGCTTATTTTTTTATTACGCCTCGAGTCTACCCGTTTATTACTTACCCGACTTGCTATAAAACTTTCATAGGTTGTTTTGCCTACGCCTGCTAAAGTTTCAAAATCAGAACCATTTTAAAATATAAGGTGCCAGTTGCTTTAAAAAAATGTGTCTACAGTCGATAAGCTGGTTCTTCTGCAGACGCACTTTCAAAAAATAGTTTTTGGAAAATCTTTCAGTAGCATTGCAAAGCATTCAGAGTTTAGCTAGCTGACTGTCTTCATGCGTATCCATGCCTCTAAGGTGTAGAAGACCTTTTAAAGGAAACCTGTATGTTGAAGAAAGGGGGCTTTAGAGACTGCTGTCATGTTTGATGGACTATATCCTAAACTTCATAAACCAAGCAGTGATACCAGTATAGAATCTTTTGGATTCCGAATGAGCAGTACGACGGAGTCGAATTGGACCAAGTTTGAGGTGAAATCCATAGGCCCATGGCTCTTCACAAGCAGCACGGAACCATCTTTGCGGGATTCACCCGGGAACCCTTGCATTAGTAGAGATTCATCCTTGTACACTGACCCTGTTATTATACCTGGAGAATGGTTATATTAGTTAGATCTTTTTTATGATGACCAAACAGCTGAAATAAAATTTAAACATTTTTATGACATTTCTAAATGTTTAGCATATTTTTTTTAAAGTCACGGAACAAAATTATGCTAATAATATAATCCTGCTAGGTTATTAGGATTGTATGTACAAATAACCCGGTACATTTGTATACTGTGACGTTTTCTAAAATGTATAAAAATAAGAAAAATAATAGACAAATTTAAGCTGACTTGATCTGTAACTCAGTGAGAGAGGTAGATCCCGAACGATCATGTACAGCTTTGTGCGTAGATATTTAAATGCATCGTCAATTAGACGTCGTTGTAGTTAAACTATATGAGCTAACCTGGTAGGGTGATTGATGACTGCTAGAACTTAACGAGTATTATATTGCCACTTTAGACATTGCAACAACGGCAAATTAACACCAAGATACAGCAGCAGGTTAAATTAAAATGGCTTTATTGCCTGTACTGAAGGGTGTATGAAGGTCGCTATCTACTTTGTCTACCTCAAATACGCAGTAGTACTTGCAAGTGATTCTTAGTGAAATAAGGTTTCGTGAATCACTCTTTCGCAGTTCATTAACGTTGTTGCCACGGCTGTATAACTTAAGCAAAAATATTGCATTTGCTTTTTCATAAAATTGCTGATACAGGGTATGTGAACAGTGAGTATAGAGTACAATGTACAGTTATACATAGTTTCTTTGTGTTATTTGATCTTTGTATCAATAATAATTATAAACGGGTAGAGTATTTTCACAAAAAATATACGAATATCTTGTTAGTAAAAACTATTATGATATTCAATCATTAAAATATTTCCTGAGTCGTATATAGTATTTAGTTTGATAGATGGATCGATGGATGATGGTATCTTGGACAGCTTTTGTGAAAAAAATGGAAATATATTTTACGCATTGCTTGTATTGTATCATGTATATGGTATAGAAATAACAGGTTCCTTCACGATCACGTAGAAAAACGCAATATTTTACGTATTGCCTGTGCTGAACCTCAGATCACCTAATAGTTACTACGTAATACATACACTCTTATACAAAATCGAAAATATCTACGCTATAATAGCCTACTAAATCTGACTAATGTAAATAACATTGCCCGCGGTGTGCATTCAAGCGGAACCGAATGTTCATAAATGAGTCTTGTATGAGCGCTTGCGTCGACGTCGGCGCACTCAGTGGTAGGCACTTATCGTGTAACCTTGAGCGAGTGACGGAGCCCTGGCTAGACTACGTAGGTATATGGAATTAGTTTTGATGTATTCGGTGGTTTTCACGAATGGTTTAAAGACACCGCTATAGTTTAATAGTAGAATAATAAACTCGAATAAATGCACTTTGTGTTTACCAGTAGCTTGTTGCAAAAGGTATCGAAGCCAAGTGTTGCCACTTCCAGGCCCCGAGATCAAACACACTGGATTACGAGGTTCTGATATGTTTCTTAGCTCCTTACACCATTCGACTGTTGGAATATCTTGCAGTGGCAACCTGAAGTACCTTTCATCTAGACTTGTAATAAAAACGTATGATGTGAATAACATAGACATGAGCAATACAGATGCGATGATTTGACGGGGTTTTGTCCTTTGCTTTGATATTACAAAATGTTTAATTGAACTGATTATAAAAGGAAGCAACATTTTATTGAATTGCCTTAATTATATTTAAAAATTGTAAGTTATATGACTAGTAACTGATAATAAAAATTAGAAAAATACAGTAGAAAATGAAGATGTAAACAAACATCAAAACAAATCTTTTTTTTTCGAGTTTTCACCCATTTATTTAGGTAGGCAAAAGTTTTACCGTACAGCCTCTTCATGAAATGCCAAGTATTTGGAAAAAACATTATGTTAAGAAGACTGCATGCTTTGTCGTTTATGTATCCTAGCAACTACATATTTTCCTAACATCTCTGTCAATTGTGTACCTTTCGTAATAAATACTTTAAAAAATATCGTTTGCAATATAGATTCACGTTATTACGTTAATATGGTAGCAAAGCGTTAAAGACCCTTATAAAGAAAGGAATGTCGGGAGTTCACCCTTGATAATTAAGTAGCAAAAATGGACAAATCGTTTTTGAAGTGACCGAAATGCAAGTTGGTCTGCTCGACGATAGGAATTGGACGACATGGACGTACAAATTAATTATAGCTCAGAGAGGATTAGGGGACTAGATATTGTGGAAGGTAATGTTAGCAGACCTATATTAGCATCGAATGCTACCTCAAATGAGAGAGCTGATTACGAGAAGCAACTGCAGACCTATCAAAAGGGAGACTGTATAGCGTTGCTAGTAATAACTACAAATCTGTCAGATGGTAACCTTCAGGAAGCTATGCGATATTCTAATTCTAGAGAGGTATGGTTAGAACTGCACCGCTTGTATGATGGAATGTCAGAAGATCGAGCTTATGACCTCTGCTTGGAATTCTTTGGCTATAAGAAATTAACTTAAGGTGACATAGTTAACCACTTGTCAAAAATAAAGAATATGTGGTTTTCGCTAACGCAAGAATTACTAAAGTCAAAACAAGGTGATTTATCAGAAACGTTCCTCATTTGTAAAATTTTGGACACACTGCCTGAAGAACTGCCAGTTCGCATTTAAATCCAGCTGGTTGTTAATGTCATAGTCTAATCGAACAATAGATAACAAGCCAACTGCTCACGAGAAAGCACTATCTTCTAAGAATGAAGACAATATGGAAGCTCTTTACGTGTAAGGAACAAAGTCTAAACTAAAGAAGAATAAGAAACCATGTAATAAAAGAGATAAAGAAAAATGTCAGTATTGCGGTGAGATCGACCCTAGAGTCAAAGGATGCTCTAAGTGGATTACCGATAGACGTCCGCCCAAACAGAAACCATCAAGTTCTAAGGGTGATCCACGCACGAACGTAAACATGAGTCATGGCTTTTGACAACAAAAGTTCAAACGTAGATTATGATAATTGGTTTGTTGACAACGGAGCTACGAGCCATGTTACTTATAGGCGTGATCTTTTTGAAACATTTGAAGATTTTGAAGGTACATACGCGGTAACAACTGCGAATGAGAGACAGTTCAAGCAATTGGTAAAGGCAAATTGTCGGTACTGACCGACGTTGCAAACAACAAGCAAGTAATTACCCTAAATGATATCGAGTTCTTAGGTTTTCGCGATTATTACACATAGGAAATGACACTATTTTTCCGGATTTAAATCGCGTATATTTGTTTTTTCAAACAAACCGACGTTTCGGGCCCTTTACAGGTCCCATGGTCACGGTTGACTGAGGTGGTACAGTCTTCAACCAGTTATGTCTAATATTGATGCAAACCCTATTTTTTCACTATAGTTACAATGGTTATTAATTATATACCTAATTTTTAATTTTACAAAGTACGTAGAATGCTAAGGGAACATAATGTATCCATTGAATATGCAGAATAATTAGAACACTGCCTAACATCAGGCTATCTATTGTGGAATAATGAATTCTACCTACAAATTGACGGTATAGCGATGGGCTCCCCGGTGTCTACCGTTGTTGCCGATATTTTCATGGAAGACTTCGAGGAGCGAGTTTTACCCGTGGCCCCAGCTAGGCCGAAGATTTTCAAACGGTACGTTGAGGATACTTTCACAATATTACCTAAAGATAGCATACTTTCTTTCTTGGACCATCTTAATTCTTTTAGTAAAGAAAGTTTTGGAAAGAGAGTTAGGAATAAAGTTGAAGCAGGACAGTGCGTTATGTGAAGGTTGTATATATGGAAAGTCACACAAAATGAAATTTGGAACTAGAAGAAAAGCTACTGAAGTCGGAGAGCTCATACATGCAGATGTTTGTGGCCCCTTCAGATTTTAGATTTCCGAATTTAGGTATTTTGTTCTCTTTAAGGATATATTTTCGAAATTTCGTTATGTGCACCTGATGAGACAAAAATCAGAAGTAAGCCAGAAGTTGAAACTGATGTTAGCTGAAATAAAAGCAACAGGACACAAAGTACAGGAGTTACTGTCTGATAACAGTGGAGAGTTTGATAATCAGACCATAAAGAAAATACTGGAAGACAATGGTATTCGTCAAAGAATGACAATATATACGCCGCAATAAAACGGTTCTGTATAAAGAGAAAACAGAATCATTGTCGAAGCTGCGAGAGCTATGATGCATGCGAAAGACTTGCCCCAAGGGCTTTGGACAGAGTTAGTCAACGCTGCAATTTATATTCTTAACAGGACGGGTTCAACAATAATGGATAAAAGTCCATATCGTCGCCTTACTTTCTCAAACTCATATCTTAAAGCACAAAGTTACTGAAACGCAAAACATGGATTGCATATACAAATTTTGCAGGCTGATTTCACATCACATTTCCTTCATATTCACACACTGGCTTTTACCTATTCTTAAATTAATGCATCCAAATTGACCCCCTTGATAAGAAATTTAAAATACTCAGAAAGTTTTACCACCTCCAGAATAATCGGGCCGCCTCCTGGAAGGAATTAGAGTTGTCCTGAGTATACCTACAAACTTGAAATAGTAAAAATAATAATAATAAAATAATAAAAACCTCGAAGTGAATTATTTTAATAAAAGAATATCGATAATATTATGTACGCTTTCAAGAACAACACTATCCCAAAATAAGCGTTAACAACAATCATCAAAATATACAAACAAACAGGCAATCTGAAGAAACCAAAGCAAAATTTGGCAAAATTTATGAATAAACTACATAAATATGTCTAATTACATGAGATATTTCGGCTTTTCTGTGATTTATAGTCAGAAAAATAACACGTGACTGTATAATGTTACATTCGGTCGATCTTCGCTTTTTCAAATGCCACATCCCGTAATGCTGCAGCAACGAATTCTCATTAATACTTAATTGTTGTCACTGTCAATACTTTTGTCCATTTTATTACAATAGATGCGAATAATTCAATAAAATACTTGGAAAAACATTTGTTTTCACATTTGATGTACTTCCCTTTGACAACCGTAACATGTACCTCATGTACTGCGAAATGGACATAGTTGGCATTTAAGATGACGTTACGTATTTTCGATTCCCGTGTTTGACACAGACCAATGTAATGCTATCTCTTTTGGCTTAAGACGGCACGCAATAGTTAAACAAAGACAATAACATGTTTTTTTTTCCGATATCGAAATGCATCATGTACATATAACGTCTGATTTATATATCTCAACATAAGATTTCCTTTAGTTTCCATAGTCTAAGACCTTTTGTAATAAATACTTTATAACACATCATTTGCAATATTTTATACACGTTATTAAGTTAATAACTATAACCCTTTTTTTTCCATCCTCTAAGACTATAACCATGAACTTTAAAACCATAGACGATTTTGAGGAGCTTCTAATTGTTGTTTATCTGTCTAGATTTCAGTGTTAACCATAGAGGATAGAAAAAAATATAGGAAGTGACAAGTTACAAGTAAAGGAAATCTACTTTACATTAGGATTATTAGTACCTACATTGCTTATAGGATGGAAAAACATTGCATACTAAATCTATGCGTATTACGGACGGTAAATAAGATATCACTAAGGAGGGCCTATTAAAAGCCCGAAGCCTAAGGCTGAGGACTATAAAAAACTCGAGTTTTGTTTCTTTTATCGTCTGTTTTCATCGTTTATTACTTGTACATGAATACTCAACTCAATATTTGCAAACGGCGGTTCTTTTTTCATCAACAGATGGTCAGCTAGCTATTGTTCTATAGATATTACAACTCGAACAAAAATGGTGCTTAGCCATGATAGATTGTAAAAAAATTGCTAAATTTTGTACAGGAAACAATTAAAATCAATTCTTACTATTAAATATATAGGTAGTATGTGGCTGACTTGCAATTAAATTTCTGTTTAGATAACATTTTAAACGAATGTTTAAATTTTGAACCTAAGTAACCTCCTTGCCTGAACCTGACCTATGTAAGGAAGAATGTCGTGCTACAAATTAAAAGAAAAGTCATTACCGCTCATGGCTGTGATGGCAAAAAAATCCCGAGGGATTTATTTGGGGCACTAAAGTGATGAGAAACAAAATAAAGGCTTCATGCTTTAACATCCGCCCCTGTGTTTGATGCCCGCAAGTTACAGTGACGTTTTGACAAAACCGCAACCATTTTTTGTTGTCAGACTATGATGTTTTTCTGAGTGAATGCTATAGCGATGAGCTGAAATGCATTAATAAACTCATTCTCATTTGCAAGTATTGTTAGCGCCCTGTTACACGAGATAAAGTTATGTACATTAACGGCGAATATGCGTTTGTTTATGTCAGTATGCGTGCGTTTTGTGTGATTTAGAGCGTTAAGATTCTGTGGTTTGTGTTTGTAAAGTTCTGAAATTTTCTGATATTAGAAATGTTTGCAGTCACGTGTTTTGTTTGAAGTCTTCAACAGCGAGAAAATTCTACATAACAGCAAACAAATTTTTACGGAAAAGAGAAAAGTCATTTTGCTGACAAACTTTAGCTGAGTAAGTATTTTGAAAAGTAGTACTATTTGTAGGTAGTTAAAATTGTCTGGTGCAATACAATAAAATGTTGGTTTTTCGGTTACCGCCACTGCAATGTTTGTAAACATTATTACTTTGAAAATTCTATTTGCACGAAATTAGAATTCAATTTTCCACCGCACTGAAACATGTTCAACGGTTTTCTCTTTCGGTCACTGCAATACAATTCCATTTCTTCTAGATATTTTCTTTACCTTTCCGGGCAAAGCACAAGCTGGTGTAGTATAAGCCTCTGGCAAGGATTGAACCTGTGATTTTGTTTTGGAATGGCAAGTGCCGTGTTTAAGTCACGTTACACACGGCGATGTTCAGCATGCGGTCGCTAATCGCAAGTGTAGCGGTGCAAACATGCGTTTGTATTGATGCAGTCGCGCGCTCGCATCTCGTTTGCATCGATGCTAAAAGTCGCCTCGTGTAACGTGACATTTTAAGACCAAATTAGGACAAAATGGCGGGCTTTTGAAGTTCCGAGTACAGTTTTTACAAAGATTAATTTTATTTTATTCCTTATTTTAAACCAAAATCCTGAAAATTCCATTAATTACGAATTCAAAGTTTTTGTTCAAAGTGATAGAAGATAGGATATACCCAAGACTTCTCCTAGAGCGCCTCCAAAGTCACTTGTGCTAAATTCGCTTTTCTGCGTACCTCTGGCCTCTTCGATTTTTTGGCGGAATTCATATCTCGTACGTGCGAGTAATAGCTTCCATAAATTGTCCAAGATTGACCTTTTTAACACTAGTGTTGCAACGGTGAAGCGTCTTATTAGTAGTTTTTTGGCGAGTAGGTAATTAGTAAATGTCGCGAAAATGTATATAGTATAGTTAGTAGTTATATAGTTATAATTGAATGCTCGTCCATTTAATGTGTGTCTGTAGGTGAAGACCCAAAATTGGCTCTCGATTATTATTTCAGTTTTTACTCTGTAAGATTGGTCTTCCAATAAGTTAAAATAAAATAATGTGATTTAAGTGAAAGTTTTTCACTTTCACACTTTTATAATTATTAACTCCCGCCGCTTAAGACTATTTAACAAACCCAAATAAGTGAACTAAGTTTACTATTTAAGAGAAAGTGAAAACATAATGTATTAGAATCGCAATGGAAAATATTACTGAGGATTCCGATAATTAAACAAAGACATGGCTCAAAGGACTTGTATCCAAGCCAAAACTTAATAAAAAACAGACCAAGATATGTAATAAGTAAGTCCGACTTAAGCATAAAAAAGTCTCAAGCGCGACTTAAGTCAATAATTGGTATTTAAGAATGATTTTTATGTCTAAGCTCAACCTTAACTCGGTCTCAGGTTCGAGTTAAGTAGCACTTGTATAAAATCGATCTTTAGCTGTTTTAAGTCTGACTTGGAAATATTTTAACATTTTTATCACTGGTTATTTGCGTTTTCTCTTGAGTTGCTCCGACATTTTTTATTTTACGTGTTTACCTACTTTTTTGTTTTGGTTTATAAATTTGAATTAAAATACTTTTAAAATGAACGACTTTGATGCCTTCATGCATTGACCTACCAATAAATGGACGTCGGGTTCGCACTAAAAAGTGTACGCACCTGTAAGGCGTTAAAATTGCATACAGAGCGTCAATCGCGCAATAGTCTTCGTTTGTTCGAGTGACAGCGCGGTTGTCAATCATGCAGTACTAATATATGCAGTACAAATAATAACTTGTAAAAATTACTGCAATAAAGTGTGAAAACAGGATTTTGTATCATATTTTCACTAAACACATATATATTGTGTTATCATAGTTGTCATTTAAAAGTGTTATTTTGTACAGTTTCATAGATATAATTTATATATAACTGAATCGTAAATATAAATTACAAAAGCACACGAAATAATGAAATAGCTAACTGTCCTTTTTCTACTCATTACATGCGCAGAAGATGGAAAGAGACCCATGACGCCAGTTTCAAGAAGCTTATATAAACTTGGTCATTTTCAATTGTTCGAACCACAAGCGATTTAAATACTTAGAACAAAGAAACTGTAGAGTTGTTTTGATTTTAATCCTATTTTTAAAATGATTTTTTTATTAAACGTTAGCAATAACTAACAAAATATTGTTGTACTCGTTTTACGGCTTGGGATTACCTATCACAAGTCAGAAAATACATTTGCCCGAAATAACATTAGCTCGAATTTTCATAATGTGTTTTTACGAAGATTACAAAACAAAAGCTAATTTTGTCTATGTAAAAAGCATCAAAATTACTCGAAATAGTAACGGTTTTGTTATAAATCGGAATTACGGATATTTGAGTTTACGTTTAGTTAGAGTATCGGTACATTTCTTATAGTACACGCATATTTTCATATTTGTAGTAATAATTGTATGCATGTATCTGCCCAACTCTTTATTATACCTTTGAGTGAATTTGTACAAAATTCGACATATATATAAAAAAAAATATTAATATTTACGAGAAAGGCTATTCCATTACTCTTGTGTTCAAGTAATTTTCAGTCGAAGCTGAATATGGTGTTTTTGGGGCCCCTGAATTGTTGTAAGCAAATTTAAGCAGTACTGCAATGACGTTACAATTTAAATTAAATGTTTTAGTTTTTTATATTTCGTTACATGTAACTACGCTTGTATGAGTTAACTTCGGACTTTTTTTTTCGTGGTTTTTGTATTAGACCCGATGTCCATTTGTTGGTAGGTCAATGCCTTCATGGCTAATTATATGGAGAACGAAGATGATTACCGTGGTGTAAGAGCACCTTTAAGATATCTGAGAGATCCTGGCAATATCTTAGATGTACTGGATGACGAACAGTTTTTCAGCCGATACAGGAATGAAAATGTGATGTGTACCTATTCTTCTCATTAAGTAGGAAAGTAATATAAAGTACGAACTATATGATATTTATGAATATTATAAAAGATTCAAGTACCACTATGGCGTAAACTGCACCACGGGGCCAATCCTCTTGGTACTGTTTCTAAATAGTTGACAATGTCAAAATACTTATAAATCATTGTATCAATAACGAAAAAATAAATATTAAAGTTATAGGTTTATAAGAACCCATTATGTACCTAGATACAAAGGAACATCTCCAGTAAGAGAAACACCAGTTTTGTTTACTGCTATCGACTTGTTTTGGTTTCTCATTTCACATGGAACATACCTATTCTGTTCCTGAATTTACTAGGTGTGTACCCAAGAAGTTTCACACTTCAGTTATTTCAACAAACAGTTCAACACATTGTAATATATAGAAATAATTCATATCCCTACAGCGAGTGATACAATAAAACAGAGAGAGATAACTCTAATCTTCATTGGTTTTCATGTTCATGTTCCAGATTTTCCAAAAAAATAATTGTGAACACCATTTTGCCGCCAGTGCAAGTTCAGTCATAATAATTAATTAATATATGTTAAAATGGAATATAAAAAATCAATATTAATTTATATTGATAATAGTTTGATTAATTTTTTATATTCTTTCCGCTGAAGAAAAGGCAAAGGTAATTGTTTGCTAACTGCCAGAAACAAAAGTCCACAGACTACAAAACAGTTTTCAAAAATACCAGCTTTTAATTTTTGAAAAAACAAAGTGAATGGCTTCAAAGTAAAACTTGAGACTGACCTTGGATAAGACCGAGCGAAAAAATGTTCATAAATGTCAAACAACACCAAGTCGCACTTTAAAATCGATCTTATTGAAGAATTTTCTTAAGTGCAACTTGTTTTGTTCATAAATATGGGTGTTAGACTTCAAATAAACACGTTCTATTTTTGAAATCCATTACAATTCTGTGCACAGAACTACAATGATTTTCAAAATTTTTCAGTTGCGAGTACAATAGACTAGTATCTTGGTTCAGAACGAAAAAGAGCGCCTTTGTGATAAGGTTCATAAAATAATAATTGACAGATTAAACCACAGGAGACGAAAAAATACATTATTGTTTACTATTTGATAAGGTCATAGACTCTATTTTGGGCCAACTCCAATTTCTTATACATGTCTTTTGTGATAGGATTGAAATATTTATATTTCTTAACATGTCGGAACAGGTTATCCAAGTCATTCTTTCTGTCGATTGCACAAGTGATGTCCCACTGCAAAAAAAGTACAGAACATAATTATAAGCCACATAGTAGTCCAAATCTAATTATCTCTCCATGGTACATATGTATAAGATTGATCATGCTGACCGGATGATACAATCGCTATTTGATCGTGATAAAAGCACGTCAAGGTTAAAGTGGCGGCTGACCAATAATCTTATTATCGTAACGTAACATTCGCGGCGAGCATGTTAGGTTACGGCATTAGCAGACTAACGCAAGGTTTTGTTCTAGGGAAAGTAACATGAACGTAACCATGGCTTGTAGCCATAGTGACCGCCCACTTCACACTTCTACTAGTTGTTTATTCCGGGCAGTGAGCATAAGTATAATACCATTGATTCCGGGCCTTATGTCTTAAAATTATGTTCAAAGTATACCAATGAAACAGTGACATTCAAAAAGTCGAGTATCGCTTGCAGCTCGTTTCTAGTATCTTCGATCAAATTCTCATAGAACACGACGTGCATTGGGCGGTGGTATTTGGTAAGCCAGTCCGTGTACAATTTTGTCCATTCTTTTAGAAGTAAGGTAACTAGGTGTGACCAATCGTCGCCGAATCTGAAAATTTCGGTGGAAATAACTAAAATTTTCTTTCTTCCTAAACCCCTTTCAAATTTGATAGCTTCTCAATCCATTTTATTTGTTCTATTTGCTTCACCAGATTTCAAATGGTTCCAATCTCTCCCTGTCTTTCTTAGTGATTAGTCGTGTCTCGTAATTGTACAGAGCGGTACTTCAGATATAGGTTTTGACGAATCTTTTGAATACAATAGACAATGGAATGGAAAAATGTTTGGACGTTCGTTACGTAATGACGGATTTGTGAGAATGATAATTGAGGGGAAGATAGAAGGGAAAAGAAAGAGAGGAAGACTAAAATGGCGTATAATGAACAAATAAAAAAGAAGATAACCGATACAAACAAAAAATTACTGAATTTCAGTGATTTTTTTTGTGTATTGCAAGGATAAAGAGTTTCAATGTTGTATTTTTTCCAAATTCACATTTATTTATAATTTCTATTTTATACATGGCAACTCATGTGCTATGTTGAGAGGATTGTACTTTGCTTTTTTTGTTTATTTTTGTTCCTTACTTGTTAGTCTGATGTCATAATTAAGAATGCTGCGTTTCCCTGTTAATGGGACATATACATTAACATAGATATTAAATATTGTATTGAATATTGTATATATTCTGTTGGGCAACCAAATAAATAAAGATCAAAGCGAACAGCTATAAGGAGGTCAAGGACCTGGCTATAAACCGTAAGGAATGAAGGAGGTTACACAAACATGAGTCTGGTTCTTAACCGCTCACGCGATGCGCTCATCCTACCGCAAAATGGCGGCTATTTGGTTTCGCAAATTAGAAAAGGATTTAGTTTAAATACAAGTTTTTAAAAATAAAAATTAATATTCTGCATTACTAAATAAATACCCTCCGTACTACAACAAAAACATCTCAAATAAAATGCAGCAATACATCGCAAATCCTGCACTTAAAAAGCACTAATGAAATTTTTGGTGTACTTGGGTAAATATGATAATATTCCGTTTGAGTGGTTCTAATGTTTACCATGAAATTACTCCTTAAAGTATAGTTTATAAACATTTATATTCAGGGTTAACTTAAAAAACGCAACTTACGGTATGTTTTCAATAAATAAACACCGACATCACCAGCCCAAACAATAACACACACGATTGTCGTGACGTATTTTTGAAGTTGTTTATTTTTTAAATGACACACCCAGACATTAAAAACTTTATGGTTTGCTAGAGTAGTTAACGAAATAGCAATTAGTATTAGTTCTTTTACCTGTTATAACTTCGATATCCGATAAATCGGTATAAAATCATTACCGGCACCTCCAGGTGTGGTATGCTTCCAGAGACGCATGAATCGCGTGAGCGGTTAAATATGATTAAAATAATAATTTTTAATGTTGCGCTTTCTTGACGTAAAGTTTTAACAAGTCATGCGCCTGATGGTAAGCCACACACCTGTCCATAACAGTTGCAGTGCCACTCAGCTCTTTAAATTGCAAAGAGCTGAGGCGTACTGTCACTGCACCCGTCACCCTGAGACATAAGTTGACAAGTCCCATGTGCCTGTAATTTCACCAGCACCCTTACCCTTCAAACCTGGAGTACAGTAATGCTGACATTGCTGCTTGGCGGCAGAAATAGGTAAGGTGGCAGTACTTCCCTGGACGAACCTTTCACAAGGAGCTATACTGATGCGATAATAATATAGTACTTACTCTTCGAACATTGAAGGTGGCGCAACAGCATCATGAATATTATTGAAAACTTCTTCACTTACATTTCTTTCTGATTCTAAGTTTAACGCATATATAATGTTAACGGTAGCCTGCGATAAAAAACAGGTTTTAAAAATAGAGTAAGAGAGCTTTTTTATCGTGTGAGGAGTAATTTATAAAAGACGTGTGAATAAAACATACGCGGAATTTTTTACTTTCTAAAAACAATTTTTATTCTATTCATTGATTGCAATGTTGACTCCTGCAAAGTATTCTCCCTCAGATATAATACATTTGTGCCAGCGCTTTTTCCAATCCCCGAAGAATTTCTGGTTTACAAGTTTTCGTTATGGTGCATGGTGTTAAGTTGTTTCGGCGATTATATCTTTACGCTCCTCAACATTGCCAAAGCGTCGTTCTGTAATGCATTTTTTTTCCAGAAACAGTACAGTTCGTAACGGAATCATGTTTGGCCAAAACTCACGAGCAAGCCGTGGCGCGTGAAGATTTTTGGGACAACTTTTGCTGTTAACTATTTCACATCCAAACTATACGTGAAAAATATTTTGACATGAGTCAAATGATATTCTAAGTTCATTAGCAATCTTGCCATTGCAAATAATCTGTGTACTGCGATTGCCTATTACCCTGTTCTTCACCTTTCTGATGTTGTCATCGGTTGTCGATATGCTAGGACATCCAGAAAGCTTGTCTTCTTCAGTGTCATAGCCATCCTCTTTAAAATGTGTGTGCTACTTGTAAATTTAAATTTAAATTGTTTTATTCACTGAATATTCGTCCAAAGCGACATCTATATTATTATATTTTCAATGTGATGTAGCACTTTAATTCAATTCTAACGCCAAATTTTAGGGAAATACTTTATATTATATTAGTGATTGGCCAAGTAACGCTTATATTTTAACCAATCAGGGGGCAACAGAGCGTTTGAGCAGCGACATATTTTATATTGTTTTTAAATAGTCTTTTTTACCACATAGACACGCCTTTATACCTGTTATGTGACATTTTGAGATATTGTTCATAAATTAATTGGAATTTTAAAAATTTCACAAATATGGTGACGTTATTCTGTACAAGAACGCATTAACGCATTTAAGGAGACTCTTTTAATTAGCAAAAGTATGATGTTTCTTCCTAAACCTCATTATAGTTCAATGTACACAACTGTAATGAAATTGGTTCAGAACTAAAAAGAGCGCCTTTGTGATATGGGTTATGAAATTATAATTGATAGATAGATAAAATACAGGAGTAGAAAAATTAGTCTTTTATGCCAGTGGCATTGCAAAGCATTCCGAGTTTAGCTAGCTGGCTGTCTTCGTGCATTTTCATGCTTTTAAGGTGTAGAAAAACTTTGAAAGGAAAACTGTATATTGGAGAATGGGTTTGACCCTTCTTTAAACCAAATTGTGCCCAATTGTGTGTGTGTACTCAAACTAAGCAGTGGATACCAGTATAGAATCTCTTGGGTTCCGAATGAGCAGTACGACGGAGTCGAATTGGACAAAGTTTGAGGTCAACTCCATAAGCAAGTGGCTCTTCACAAGCAACACGGAACCATCTTTGCGAAATTCACCAGGGAATCCTTGCATTTGTAGATATGTATCGTTGTACACTGACCCTGTTATTATACCTGGAGAATAGTTATATAGTTAGATCATTTTTAATTGAAAGAACTGAAATAAAATCTAAACCTTTTTATGTCGTTTCTAAATGTGTGGCATTTCAGTACTCGTATAATTGTCTAAAATAAATAGACTGAAATGTTTCGAATAAATATAGACGAAATCTGCATACTGGAGAAGGAGACGTGTAAAGTTTTTGTGGTGAACAAGAACTAAGCACTGGCACGTATTATTGTTGATACAAAGTCTTCAATTCATTTTAAGGGGCAAGCTTCTATAGTAAGGTTCAGTTTGATATTTAAAATTTGTCATTTACGAGTATTAAAAGTATAGTGATACAAAGGTTATTTATTAAACAGCTTCTGCGTACTTGATGACAAAAATCCGTGGTCTAAGATGTTTCTAGAGTACTCGCGCGGGCTACATATGTAGCCCAGAGTGCTTTGATTGCTATTATTTCGTGAACTTTTAACCGTATTATTGCTATCTCATGTATTCCTCACTCAATTGTCTGCGCTCCTGTCAGTAGCCTGATCCCGGTGGCACACGGACGCCTGATCCCGGTGGCACACGGACGCCTGAGCAAATTGACTGTGAAATTATTATAATATAATAATAATAATAATACATTTATTTCAGATTTACATCCATATGTGTTAGTAACAATGACCTTATGTGCTATGTTAGTGATTTCACATGTTTAATTCAGAAAATAAAATTAAATTACAATTAATATACAAAAATAAAAATAAAATAAAAATTCACATGAGAAATGGGGGAAAATTACCAGATTCTCCCTCACTTCTCACACCTAATCTGCGACTCATGCGACTTCGTCCAATGACTGAGTATAGGGCTGTCATTTGTATTGGCCACCGCGCTCAGAAGGCTGTTGGCGCTGCCGCGCACGCGCATCATCAGGGACGCGACTCGCTTGCGCATGACGGCATGAAAGTCATCCGTGTGCGCCTCCGCAAACATCCCTGACGCACTACAGTAACGCGGCAGCCCCATCAACATCCTGAACGCATTGTTGTATAGGACACGTAGTGCGCTATAAGCTTTCTTAGTACAATTGATCCACAGGCTGCAGGTGTAGAAAGTTTGACAATAAGCTCTGAACAAGGTAGTTTTAACACTTGTTGTGCATTTTGCAAACCTGCGGACCAACATATTACTTCTTACCGATAACGCTCTACGCTCCCGCTCCACGTCTAGGTCGTCAGACTGCGACGCGGAGACCCAGTGCCCCAGATACTTAAATTTGGAAACAATTTTCAAAGTGACACCTCCTAACTCGACTGGTGGTATTATATTATATGTTTTTGTGCCGGCTCTAAATAACAAAAGTTCACTTTTACTAGCGTTATATCTGAGGCCATGAGTCTCCGCGTACATTTCACACGTGTCTAACAGCTTCCTAAGGGCACATACCGATGGGCTCAGCAAAACCATATCGTCAGCGTAGCTAATGTTATTAAAACACTGGCCTCCGACTGAGCATCCTGCTCGGGTGTTACTTAGCTCATCGATCAGCTGATTCATATAAAGACAGAAAAGCCTTGGTGATGTCAACCCTCCCTGTCTCACTCCGCACTGCAGCCTGAACGGGCCAGACATCGAGCCAGCCCACCTAATTCTGTTAGTCTGGTTGCCATACCAATATTTGAACATCTCAATCAGTGCACCGGGTACTGACAGGTCATATAGCTTTTTCCATAACAGATCGTAGGACACCAGATCGAACGCCCTGGACAGGTCCAGAAAGCATGCATATAAGCATGCATATTGGGCTGTGCGAGCATTTTTTCGGTACTTTATTTTTAGCAAAAACAGTTCATTGTTTGAGGTAAATACAAGTTATTTATAGTTTTTTACAGAGTAAAATATATTTTATCTGTTTTTGATGGATTTGTAGATTAAGGGTATTTTTTCTAGATAATTGTCAAACTACCTTAATTTTTTTAGATTAGCTTGGCGTCAAACGCTGATGAATTACGTATTCAAAGTGTGTGTGCCCAGAATGCGTGGATTCAATTTAGAGAACTAGTGTTTTGATATTTTTATTTATATAACCAATTTTAAAATGTTACAAAAACTTAATTAGCTCATAGATTTCACTTGCCAAATAAAAGATAAGAATAATTGATCTCATGCCGTCCAAATTTAAGTCAAATAGTTGAACTTTAAGATTACGTGTATATTAAAGAATATAAAGACTATTTGTTGTTATTTTGCTATGTAAATGTAAGAAAAATAAATGTTATTGCTAATTACAAACAGTGTTTTATTAATGTTTCATAATTTTAAGTCAAAGTCAAAGATCATTTGAACAGACACTTGAAAGCGTCACATTTAATCAATAGTATGGTTTCAAAATAGGCTTTATAATTACCCCGCGCGAGCATTGCTGGAATATTTTGGGCGCGTAGGTACTCTAGTGTTAAATTTAATATTGTAGTGATAAGTATATATTCAAATGTATATTTACAAATAGAATCCCCTAGAGTTTCTTAATCATTCTTCTCAGGCGAATCTGCCTTACGCATAAGCAGTAGAGTTTAAATCAGTATGATGACATAAAACAAAGATTTTTTCACTTTGGAAGATCGAAAACACACGAAGTATAATTCCTTCGATTTGACTGGACTCGTTCGTAACCCAATGCAATGATCTGTAACAATAGCATGTAGAGAAATTCGCTTAAAAAAATTACAATACCGTCTTTAAGGTAGTTTATTGCTTAATGCCAAGAAGACAAAATGTGTTAAATTTGGATTACCTAACGTAAAACCGACTAGTCCAAGCACAGAAATAAACGCAGACTTAGACCTTGTTGATAAAGCAGTTTTCTTGGGAGTGACCTTAGATAGTAAACTTCAATGGTTTCCACATATATCTTCCCTGGCCCGCAGATTAAGCTCCGCTGCATACGCAGTTCGCAGAATACGTGAGCTTACCGATGTTAGTTCTGCTAGACTAGTTTACTTTAGTTACTTCTATAGTGTAATATCCTACGGGATTCTCATGTGGGGTAAAGAGGCAGATATTCAAACCATATTTGTGTTTAAAAAACGAGCGATTCGTAATGTGGCTAGTATCATGACTGTGGCATCACAGTACATTTACTCAAATATTTTATATTTCTGTAAAAATATACATAATTTCAATAAGAAAGAAGATATCCATAATATTAACCTCAGAGCTACGTCCAAACTCATGGTACCACGATTTCGTTTAACCAAGGTAAACAACCCTTTTACGGGGAACTGTATACGTTTTTAAAATAAGATTAAAAACTACATTAAAAATATTTTGATCGAAAAGTCATTATACAAAATTGAAGACTACGTGCTAGATAAAGATGTATGTAAAGACGACATGGCTCCAGAATCCACACAAATTTGATTCAAAGTGTATTCCATAGCATTTAAGTTTATTTGAAAAGAGCAATCCCTAGAGTTTCTTGCTCGTTCTTCTCAGGGCTACGATGATTGCCCTGAGAAGCTGAGTGAACGAGCAGTAGCTTAAATGTGACGTTTTCAAGTGTAAATTTATTTTAACTATGGAATAAATGATCTTTGACTTTGACTTCGCCACCTGCCGATTCAGTCTGTAGCGCAGTTAGTTCGAGTCCAGTTAGATTGAAGGTATTGTTCTTTGTTATTTATTTATTTATTTAATCAATATTGCGAGTGGGCTCACAGAGCGTATCCAAAACACTCACAAGCTTAGGCAACATTACAAATTATTGATAAAGAATTGCGATACAATTAAAATAAAATAAAATTATAGATACAATTTAGCTTACAAATGTCAAAACCTTAACCTACTTAGTATCTAATTTCCTACACGTAAAAAGTCATTATTTAAAAATATGTTCGCGTTCCTAAGAATTTGTCCAAAGGAATCAGCAAATAAGTCCATGTCATAGTGGTCAGCGAGCATATCTCCGATGAGCGTGAGTGCCCGCGCGGAGGGCGCATGCGCAGCGCGAACGGTGCGCACTGCCGGCCGCTGCAGCAAGCGCAGCCGCCGACGTGGCGTCACTATCCCAGCCTCATCCCAACTAATGCGAGAGGGCACCTGAATGCTAAATTTCTCGAGAATATCTGGACTATCGATTTTATTATGAATGATTGATAGGTAGTGTAGTACTAGCATCCATTTTCGCCTAAATGCAAGTGTTTCTAAATCGACCATAGCAGTTACAAATAAGGAGGGGTAGAGAAACGGATAGTACCCATAAGTTCTCTTATATAACCATCGAGCAAATTTACGTTGAAGCCTTTCCACCATAAGGTTATATTTATTTTCATGAGGATCCCAAATGATAGCGCCGTATTCGAGTTTACTGCGTACATACGCATTATACAAAACCTTTGCTACTGTACTGTTCTGGAATTGTGAAGCAATTCTGATAATAAAACCCAAGGTTTTGCTAGCTTTCTTGCACATTTCAGGCACGTGAGTATGAAAATCCAGTTTGTCATCTAATATTAAACCTAGGTCGCGAATGTTATTAACTCTATCCATAGGAGCGTCATTTAAACTATATCTAGTAAACAGGGGTGATCGTTTACGCGTAAAAGTTACCACTTTGCACTTATTTTCATTTAGTGGCAATCTATTGACTCGACTCCATTCGGATACGGCGTCAATATCACATTGGAGTGCCTCAGCATCTGTCGCCTTACTAACCCTCGTGAAGAGCTTTAAATCGTCCGCGAATAGAAGACATTTGGCGGATCGGACATAGTGTGGTAGTTCATTAATCATGAGTAAAAATAGCGTTGGCCCCAGGGTACTTCCTTATTATTCCTCCTCCTATTTCCATCCTACTTATTCGATCTTTGTATCAATAATAATTACGAACTAGTGAATAGTCCAGTATTTTCACAAAAATAAACGAACATCATGTTAGTAAAAATATTATGATGTTCATTAAATAAAATACTGCCTGGGATGTATGTTTAGGATGATAGATGGATGGATCAATGGATAATCGTCGAGTGATGGCGTCTGGTACAGCTTTTGTGAAAATAATCGCTATAAATATTTGATGCATTGCTTGCATAGTATAATATATATGGTATATATAATGTATATAGTATCGAAATAAATGGTTCCTTCACAATCTTATGGAAAAATGCCATAGACTGCATATACATGGGTGTAGTTTTGATCATGTTTTGATGTATCTTGTGGTTTTCAATGATGGTTTAAAGATGGTTGCCGAATAAGGCTCAATTTACATAGTCGTGGAACGGAATTGAACGGAAACGTCAATTTCGCCTCGATTCAATTTTTTTTTTGTAGTATATCGTCGACTTTTAACGTCACACTGCGCCTGCCAGTGCCTACACGCCACTTCCTGCGGATTCGTCAGGCGTCTCCGGATGACACGCGACTCGTTATTTGCCTCGCATCTAGTTTGTATATTAAATAATTGACGTAATGCAAATTTTGTAAACTACAATTTTGTTATAAAAATTCGCTTCCATTCCGCCGTAACGCAAATTGAGTCTCAGGGCGCGTTCTAATTAGACGCTGCATTCGCGTGGCTGTTGCGCTGCAGAAGTGCAACCAAATCTTTAGTGATGATTTATTTTTCGAATCAGTTACGCGATGGATTCTGACGAAGGAACATTACTTTTACTTATTTTGTTAAAACTGAAGAAGAATAAATGAAAAAGAATACCATTAGAGTATTAGAATCCGTTTGTTACCTTTATTTTGTCAAAATAATTTTGACCTAAATTTTCCCCATGCCTTTTTTTTAACCGGTCGACTGGAATAATTGGCGCTGCTTTCCCATATTGCTGGGTGTTGTTTCTGCTTTCCCATATTGCTGGGTGTTGTTTTACATTCTCAATAATTTCTCCAATTCGATTTTCGTCCACCGTGGTTAATTTGAAAAATTAATGTGTCTGCATCCGAGGGTGATTGCAGCACGATTGTCGCGCGGCCGCTGCGCAGTTGCAGCGCTTTTAGAAATTGTATAAAAAGTGGTGGAACAGCGGCTAATTTGAACGTACCCTAAGAGTGAGCCAAAAAGTACATGGGATGTTCAACCTGAATAAATGCACTCTGTTTTACCAGTAGCTTGTTGCAAAAGGTATCGAAGCCAAGTGTTACCGCATCCAGAGGCCGAGATCAAACCCACTGGATTACGAGGTTCTGATATGTTTCTTAGCCCCTTGCACCATTCAAATGTTGGGATATCTTGAAGTGGCAACCTGAAGTAGCTTTCGTCGTCAACACTTGTTATAAATACGTATGATGTGAACACCACAGAAATGAACAACACAGATGCGATGATTTGACGGGGTTTTTTCCTTTGTTTTAATGTTACAAAATGTTTTATTGAAGTAATTGTAAACGGAACTAACATTTTATTTATTGTAGTGTGTAATACTAAGTAATGACAATCACAAATTAAAAAGATTAGGAGAATATGAAGATGTAAACAAACATTAAATAAAGTCAAGAGTATATTTTTTTTAAATAAACCTTGTGAAAAACAAAAGGGTAGGCAAAGATTCTACCTACCATACAGCCTCTTTATGAAATGAGCTACTGAAAAAAAAAGTTTGCCTACTGTAACGTAATAATTAATAAGTATAATCATAGCTCTAACCTTAGAGGGTAACCAAGAACCATAAAAACCAAGACGTTTCTGAGTACCTATGTTGTTTGCCAGTGTCTTTTTTTTTTCATCCTCTAAGGCCAGTATCAATCCGACTAGACATGGCAATATCGGCTGTTTGTCAATAGTGAATTACACTGTTAAGTGATTTTTCAATAACTGTTATTGTAAACTGTAGTCAAATGAGGAAAAACCTGTTATTCCTCTATTATCTAGTTTTACATACAACTTTTCTGCAATGAAATCAAATTTACTTGGAATAAACGAAATCTACTATTGTTAAAAAGCTATTTATGTAGTTGACTATAACCATTAACCAATAAACCAAAACAAAATGGTTGTTTTCGGCACCAGTTCTATTTAAATTGATTGATATTAACAACCTGTCGATATGAAATATTAAAATCGACAATGAAAAGATAAAAAACTATCAAAGGATGCAATGGACGTAAAATTTTATCTTCGTGTAGTCTCAGGATAAGTGACAAACGGGCTTGACGAAAGTCTTCCATTTAAAATGGGATGCACTCAGTATCGTCTTCGCCTTTCTCTTTAACGTTTCATTGTTCAAAACACACTTATTACTACTATTATTCCTGTTTTTTTTTCTCAATCTACTGGCTGGTTTCAACTACATTTACCTTTTTTCACCGAAATGCTATGTAGTGGTGTACTATGTTGTTTTATAATAGCGGGTGCCATGGACACACGCATAGACAACTGCAAATTACACCCAAACTCACGAGAGAAATAAATGTAGATCATACAAATATTTCCCCCGGCCCGGGAATCGAACCCGGGATCTCTACGAGTTATTATTATTAATAATATCCACAAACAAATTGCTCCTCCACGTCTATTCTCAATTAATGTTGATGACTATTGACGGCCGCGCATTTATAATATGAACTTAGCTTGAAGAGCCATAACGGGATCCGATAGATGTCCATAAGATCAACAGCATCAGATTTTAGATATACTACTACATATGCCTTAATATTTTATGAAATGCTTTATATTTCGCCAAAGATTTTTGGGATTTCCTTTGCTATCTAGAAGCTGTTTACGATGTCATTCGATTTTGAGCCTATTTTACAATTCAGGTAGGAAAATACTCTACCTTCCGTAAATCTGTAGGCTAATTGGGTCCGTGGGATTTCTTTTAGAAACGAAATGTATAATTTACCACGAGTTTTTTGGAGTGTCAATAATCTGGCAGTAACCTAAGAGTGCGGCCACACGACGAATTTTTGCTATTCATATGCGATTGCATCGACACCAACGTGCGACTGCATCGATACAAACGTGCGACTGCGTCGATACAAACGCGCGTTTGTATCGATGCAGTCGCGCGTTTGCATCGCTGCTTTAAATAGTGTGCGCGTTCTCAAAATAGCTGTTGTTGTACACTATTGAAGAGTTTCTCTGGTCTGTCTGCCATTTCCAACACCAGATCAGCTCCAGGTCATCATAAAATTTTATTTTCATTGGAATTACATGTATTTGCCAAGTTTTATTAAAATCGGTTAACGGAAAGCGGGTGAGATTTAATAAACCGTAAAAACATTAGGTGGAATGTTTTTTTCAAATTTGAATGGGACCCACTAATAGCATAACATACACACAAAAGAAAAAAAAATAAGGACGAATTGAGAACGTGCTCCTTTTTTGAAGTGGGTTAAAAAGACAGTACATGCAGGAGAACGAAATAGGTTCTTATCACAATATGCCGCCTTTAACGTACATCAATAGTTTGCATTTACTTAGTATCGGTGCGAAAAAAACAACGCCATTAAGATCTGAAAAAATTGTTTGATCTTCAAAGATGTCAGTCACCTTTAACACTCAACATAATATTTTTTTTAAGTGTGCATTGGAGCTCCATCTCACCTGATTGAAAGTGACAATAAGGTGGACGGTGGAGCATGTGCACCTAAATAATGCCTATTCACTCTCGCCTTGAAAAGACCCAAGATAAAGCGTTTAGGAAATAAGTCTGTAGGCTCTGAATTCCACTCCATAGCCATTCACCTTAAAAATGAGGAAGCGTAACGCTTCATGTGAATCCTTGGAATATCCATAATTGTGCCAAAATACCTAGTTATCTCTTCCTGATTATGTTTTCGTCGCGTGTCCCATACGACCAGTCCCAGCCCATACAAATAAACAAATACAATTTAAATTGACTTGTGTCTACAGTCCCAAAAGCTTTTCAGAGATATTATAACTTGAAAAGGAACTAACGCTGCCACGTTGAAAATCGTGACATAGGTTTTCTTGTAGATTATTATAAGGCTGCAAGTGAACTCATCAGAATAGTGTGAGTTTTTGTGTAAGTACACCACGTGACGTGTATCAGATGTTACTGGTCACTGTTTCACGAGACCATACACCATATTTTTTTTTGTGGTTTGAGAAAGGATCAAAATATTTGTATTTCTGAACACATCGGTAGATGTTATCCATATCATTCTGTGTTTCAATGGCACATGAGATGTCCGACTGCAAATAAAATATGAAATATAACTGAAAAGGTAAATAATACCCCAAAACTCACTAAAATAATTTTTGTTTTTTTTTATTAGCCGCAGTAAAATTGCCAAGAGGTTTCTATTTAAATTGGGCGGTATAATGAAACCTATTTTCTCCAAAGAACCCGCAATGAGACGTCGTGGCGGTTTGAGACCTAAACCCAAGTCTTAAATGAGACCTGCGACCTGATTTCGAATATATATATAAATTGATGATGACGACGTACAGGTCGATGCTTACAATTATTGAGATGTCTATTGTAGGTTGAGTTATGAATTTTTGAGTCATGAAGTCGCCCTTATTTGGTCTGCAAGACGTGAAATAGGAACCGCTTATATCTTATCTGAACCGTAAGCGTAGGTGGCAGATTACACTAGTGTGGTGCCACACATATAAGGTTATGACTGGTTGAAATAATTTCCTGCCCTGGTGCACATGGTAATCAAAGTTTACCTCTGAAACAGCGACGTTTAAAAACTTTAGAATTGCTTGTGACTCATTTCTGGTGTTATTGACCAAACTTTCATAGAGCACAACGTGGATTGTGCCGCGGTAATTGGTGAGCCAGTCTATGTAGAATCTTGTCCATTCATTTAGGAAGTTGGTAAATAATAGTGACCATTCATTGTCAAATCTAAAATGTTAATAAAATACAGTTTAATTAAATATTTGTATAAGGTATCAAGCGATGGGTTGAACAATTCGTGCGCATGGTGGTAGTCATTCCTGTACACAACAGTTACCGTGTCACTCAGAGCTTTAAACAGCAAAGACCTGAGAAATACTGCCTGTGATTTTAGCAACACCCTTGCCCTTCAACAACCACGGCAGAAATCGGTAACGTGGCAGTACTTCCCTGGACGAACTTTTTCACAAGGAGCTCTACTGCTAGCCAAAAAAAAATCTGGACAATTTTCGATATACAGGAAAACTAAAGCAGTTAAAGTAATATAAGAAGTAATTCTGAATAGTGTAGGGAATATTTCTCCTTCGTGTCCGTGAACGACCTGGTTAATTCACCTGTGTGGACAACTTGATGTTTTTCGTAACACAAAAATTGGCATTCGATCGGAGAAATTTAATTTCCGAAGTGGTATTTTAAATCAGGTTCCTATTTAGTATTCTTGAATATCAATGACGAAAAAACGATCAAGGTTGTCCATAAGGTCAATGGTTGTCCCTCAATAAACCTGAAAGTGGTCATCGTTCGGGAGCTGTTTAATACAGGGTTGTGACGTATCCGCCAGACTGGCCGATTTAATTTCAATGTTGAACGATAACTAAACCCATAGCATAACACCAGTGCGGTGCGGTGCACGGTTGGATTCGGACATGCTCCACTACACAGTAAGAATTATAATAATTCGCGAGTCCAGCGGCAATAGCCGCTGCGCGTAAATGACTATGGGTTCCCAGCAGCTCATAGCCAATGAAGTGCTGGCGTTCATCCAACACGCCGTCGACACTATGGACGAGATCAGCATCGTGCAGGTGTGCAAATCAAATTTTAAGGAAGAAGAGATTGCAGTGGCAAGGCGCTGCTTTTCCGTATGATTGACAAAGCTGAGCAGATGCCACTTTGCCGGAGGGAAGGAGGAGCGACGAGTCTCCTGGACATCATCTCGTTGTTAAAGGAGACCGACCCAGAAAACGTGCCTGCTTGCCTACTTTCGTGGCGAAGGAGCTGCACAAGCTACCCCCTGTCACGTTCGACCACGTCGACGTCACCAGGCTGCTGAAGGACATCACGTCCCTAAAAGCGAGCCTTGCTGAAGTTGACTGTAAATTGGAGGCCTCAGACGGCCATTAGTGAGTTGCATACCCAAGTTGCGTTACTGAGTAGTGCGGCTTTGGTAAGTAAGTCACTCGAGGCCTGTAACGTGAATACTTGTCGAGGGGCGCAAAACGCATCTATCGGCAATTTTGAGTCGGCCCATGCGTCGCCGACCGCTCTCACCACGTACGTTTCCCCGCTCCCCGCACCTTGTTCTTCCGCCCCGGCGGAAAGGTCACGCGTAAGCATGTTGACCCCTCAACGTGACTACGCTGCTGTTGCCGCTGCTAACCGATCCAATATTCCACAACCACAGCTCAGGCAGTTACCAACAAAGAGGAAGAAAATGTAACGGATACTCATCTCTGGAGAT